AAAAAGCATAGTGCTTTCTCGTTCTCCTGCCCGATGCTCTCTTCAGATTAACGGAGAGGCAGTGGAGGAGGTGGAGAAATTCAAGTACCTCGGAACTGTATTTACTAGTGATGGAAAATTGGAGGAAGAGATCGACCGGCGAATTGGAATAGCCAGTGGCGTTCTACGTGAACTAGCCCGACCGATTGTGACGAAAGCAGAGCTCAGTCTGAAAACTAAGGTCTCAGTGCTCAAGTCGATCTTTATCCCCATGCTTATTTACGGTCATGAGTCGTGGACCATCACTGCAAAACTTCGAACCTGGGTAGAAGCTGCTGAAATGGGCTTTCTTAGGCGAGTCGCTGGCCTTACGCGTCTCGACATGGTCCGGAACAGTGACATCCGAAACAGCCTTGGAATACAGCCCTTGCTTCTCCAGATTGAGAAGTCACAGCTGCGATGGTCTGGCAGCGTGTTGCGAATGTGTACAGAAAGGAAGGCTAAGCAACTGTTTCTTACGAAACCGACCGGCAGAGAGTCAAGGGATGGCCGAGATTAACCTTGTGCAAATATATGGAGGAGTCTGTTACAGACTCCAGTTGTCTTCTGCTGAATCTTAGTCTCTGAGAAATGATGGGTAAGACTGGAAGCTCTGTTTGACGCCTCTGTCTTCGCGACCCGAAAGGAGAGACGGCATTGGAAGATGAACATGAAGAAGATTCTTGAGCATTCCTCTCCTTGACTTATCATGATTACTTAATGACAATGAATTCACTTTTCTTGGGTTGCGTTGGCAAGCAAAGGCATCATAATTTATATTCCTATTTATTCAAATGTAATAACGAACGTGTTATGCCTTGTTAAAATCCATGAGTAGGAAAATAAATTGGTGCATAACTTAACTTGGTATAGGCTTTGCTTTTATGCATAATTTATGGTTGGATTTTTGGAAGAGGTACTCCTGTCATGAGTGAGTTTCTAACTTCACCAAGATCAGATTTCACACGGTATTGCACTTCCTTCTTGCTGACACACTGTTAAGCATTAACTTAGCTTTCTTATATTTTCGCCTACGCAGAAGCTTCTTCGTCATGCAGTGTAAATTCATCTGATACTTCTTCGACAATGGAAGATGACAGCTCTGATTGGTAGCTAGCCTCGACCGTACATCTCTAGCTTTCACTTAGGGATCTGCTTCAATGCTACACACTCACGCTGCACTTTTTCGGTTAGTCGTATACTAGCCTACCCATACAGACTGTGACATGCTCATATGAACAAGTTTAGAATACCATTCTGTGTGATTAGTCAATGTAAGGTAACACAATCACGTGATTATAAATCATTACTAAAAGTCGAACGATTTGTGCCACACCACGCCATCGTTGCCGGCTGGCTTTGTAGTGTAAAGTAAAAATAGACAATACCGCAGGAAACATGCCGTACGGACAATTTCCGATCCGGTGTAATCGCTCCGCGGGCCGCCAGTCGGCTAAGAGACCAATGATCGCAAAACATTTGGCCACTAGTGCTCAATGAGCGTTTGCTCGTTCTCAGAGACGTGTAATGTGAGTCGGGCAATGGCCTTGCCGCCAAAAATTAGGAACGCGTGTCGCACATGCATCACCAGATCGACCTGCACGTCCTGAGGGCCTTGCAGTGACTCGACCAGTGCGACGATAGCCGAATTCGTTTCCTGACCCTTCTGCAACAGGAAGCTCTGTCTGCTGGCTAGTGGCAAGGCGCGATCCGGCGAACTGACGTTCCGCATCACCAGCTCGAACTGGACGCTAGTTGTGGTCGTTTGCGGTCCTTTCATCGTGAATAACGGCAGGGCGTTGAGACCGTATTCGCGAAACTTCAGGTTGCTCGGCAGCGCGATGAAGTTGTTCGAGATGGAGATCGGCGAGTCCAGGCACCTCTGATCGTTCGGAAGGCACATCGGCACGTTACGATTACAGCGACTAAACAACTCCGTGGTTACCAAGGCATCAACATTTTATGTTAGCGCCACGGTGTGTTTTAGCCTTCCGCAGTTGAAGCCGTTGTTGAGTTTTTAAACAGATTAGCCCAGGTAAA